GGGGGGGGTGTGCTCGAGACCGGGATCCAGTGCAGCAATCTCCGTTGTCGCTCATGTTTAGAGCAAATACATACCTCCTCCCTCCACTGCAGAGAAACTGAGCTACAACCTTAGCTTATCAAGTCAGAACTGATATTAGAAGTTACTCTCCGTCGGAATTGGTGGATAATACGCCTACCGGATATACCTTAACTTTATGGAACTTAACGCCATAGTGTTCTATCATGATCTCTTTCTTTTTTCTTTTAATAACTTGTTTTTACTTCGTAGGACATAATTCTAGAAACTGTAACCCTAGACGATAAAAAAAAGAGGGAACTTTTTAAAAGATGAAAAATACCACAATTGTGACCTTCGCTACATCGTTGGCAAGACGATATTGTCGGAAATACAAGATGTGCAGTACTAACGAGCGGAGAAATTCAGTGATATTACATTGCTTTTTTTATAACAGATCGGGGCTTCAGAAAAAGCTGTCTATAAAAGTGCTCCAGACGTTACATTCAACGAAAAATACTACTACTTGAAAAAGCGTACCACTGTGTGCAGCTGGATAAATCTATGCCGGTAAGCGCTTTACAGGTCCTCACAGCCGTCCGAATCAATACAGAGGGATCCTTTTCAGGATTAGGTCCGTCTAAAGAGGGACTCCATGGACCGCCTATAGCCATTGTCTCATTTTTTCCCCGTAAGCCTACTAAGAAATTTATAAGACGCGTAGGATGAACGTAATCGCGATCAGGATCTCTGTCTTCGGAAACGCCACAACACCTTTTGTATATTTCTTCCATAGCTGGCATAGATATGAGCATGACCTAAAAACCAATTAAGAAATATTTAGTGAAACCATTTCGTCACTCGCACAAGCATGTAAATACGTATATGTGTACGGATATGCCAATTCCTGTTTTGTGCTACGAATGTGTTGGCGCGTTAGCTGAGATTTTATATCGCTTCTCTTTTCTCGTATAATCCACGATCGCAACACAACTTTTAACAGACCTTTGCAGAGAATAGATAATCAGCATCCGAAGGTTCTAGTACTGCTGTATTTTCATTACAGGGATCGACGTCTTTATGCATAACATGGAAAGAGCATGGTTTATTAAGTGTAAATGGCATATGTGGTGGAAAGGCATCGACCCATCTGAAGTTAGTGGAAAAGAAGTCGCTAGGAATGTACATATTTTGATAGCGTCTTCTAATTTCAAGAACATCTGCTTCAGGCCTGTGATATAATAAGCAGCAATAAAACATCGCTAGTAATTACCCCTGGTTGGCATAAAATAGAAACAAATTGCACACTTACAGGTCAAGCGCTATTTTCGGTATTTGCACCATGTAACGTGGTACGACCCTCGTACGACGACGAGGTCTAGGAGATTTGCTTCTTCGCGTCCTTGACGGACTTCGGTCCTCCTTCTTCTCGCGTTCTCTAATTCTTTCCTCGCGACGTCGCTTTCTCTCAATATCTTCATCGTCGTTTCTCCGTTCGCGAGGAGACCTCTCTCTTACTCTACCGACTTTGTTACGGTTGCTGGTAGTGTTGGAATTTGTTGTACTTGTCGTAAACCTACTGATAATATAACATTACATTGATAAAATATTGTACAAAGTGTTTCGTGTGTTGTTGAGATATAAGTCATATGATATTGAAGAAAAACTCGTGGAAAAACTTTTCTTAAAAAGATATTTTAGTTTGTAAATTTTAAAATATTATACAGACTAAAATATATTTAATAGATCAATATTAGCTATTAATTTGTTTGTTAACGCTACAAATCTGTTTATATCATGCAGCATATATTATGATTTAAATATACTAATATAGATATGTTGGATCACTTTACCTATTATTAGGATTTTCAGTCGGTGGAGGTACAGCATTGTAAGTGCCCGATGTCTTATTCGGCTGCTGCTGCTGTTGTTGTTGTTGTTGTTGACGATTTGGTTGATTAGTTTGTTGAGTGTTTGCACTGTTGCTATTATTACCCATAGCGAGCACTTGTATTCTAGTAGCAATCCATTTGAATGGCATAGAAGGATTATAAGATGCTTCCACAAGTACACGATCTCCCACCACAGGATTAGAACCTTTCACACAAGCACTGAAGAAAGACCTTTAGTACACGAGTGCACAAAGAAGGGATAAACAAAGAATAACTTAATCACTTGTATTTACCTAGTTTGAAAAAATACATCTTCATCAACAAAGCCAAAATTGTCATGTACTCTGGTAACTGTGCCTGTGAAAACTCTCTGCTTTGTAGACGACGAGGATACATTCTGTTGCACCTGCTGCGGGACACCGGCTACGGAAGGTTGAAAAGCATTTGTGTTCAATGCTCGCGGCGTTGGATAAGAAACTGTGGCAACTTGTGGGTATAGCTGACCAGGCATACCAGATGGTAAATTTGAGCCAAGGGTAGCCATTGATGCCATGGTGATATTGGGCTATTAGAAACACAAAAGCCAATTTAAATTAATCTCATTATAAGCAATTTATTTTATCATTAGTACATGAAAAAAAAGATATAAACAACTATACATTTACAATTTACTATGTTAGCCAATTTTCTTACTAAGATAACAAGAAAATTTGCTCCTACAACAAAAAAAATAGCTAAAGCAGTAAATTATATTTAGTTAAATTTTCTTGTTATCATAGGAAGGAAGTAGATTCCTGCAGCAAAGAAAAAGTAGCTAATGCAGCAAAGTATGTTTAACTGTCCATATATAGCAAATTTATTTGCTGCTACAACAAATTCTTTTTTTCCATATATTATATAGAAATACTAATTTGTAAAATTTACCTGTTGCAGTCCTAGACTTTGTTGGTAAACCTGTTGGGTTTGTTGTTGATACTGCACCATAGGTTGTCCTCCGATACTGCCCATGGCTTGTCCAAGCATTGGCTGCTGGATATTTTGTATACCTTGTCCTTCCACAAACATAACCCAAAGTTATTACATAGTTCAAACATTGTTTATGTTGTTGCTACTAAGACATTAACAAAAATTCTAATAAAAGAAAAACAAACAATCCTGAATACTACGTGTTAAATAATTATACAGAACATTTATTTTTCAGAGATAACTGCACAAAACTCTAATTTTAGAAGAAAACTATTCTAAGAACTTAAGTCATAAAAAAAAAACAGATAAAACTAAAAGTTCGTAGAATATAACTACTAATATATAAGAATACTGAAAAACACACACACACACACACAATAGGGAACAAGAGCTAACAATAGTTCCTCCAAACAACGCGTCGTTCAAGCATTATTTTAAGGGTCATTGGGCAACCAGGACAAATTATGAGCGATCATGAGCGAAATATCGCGTGGCATAAGCACGCATGGAGCTTGTATAGATAGAAAACGAGCTCGTCGACGTAAAGTGTCGTCGCGCGCGCGAACGCTCGTTGATTCGCGCGAGTCAGCCGCGGAGGAAAATTTCGCAACATCGTGCATTGCGCGCTGCACACGAGACGGAGACGACGACGACAACGACGACGATGACGACAACGACGAGTTTCGTCCGTCGCGATTCGTTCGCGCGAAAAGCGTATCGCTCACCTGCATTACGGACCCAAGGTGGGTTCTTGCCGCCGCCAAAAGGAGATAGATTGCTCATCCTGCACAAACTTACGGTTTAAGCGATTTATCAAATAAACGCGTGTATGTAAAAGAGACAGGATCTGGCAGACTCGCGTATAGCGTCCTTCATTCGGGAGCCATGTTTCGGACGTACTATGCAAAGCGAAGCGAGTCTCGTGCTCGTTCGGACGAGTTCGTCGAGTGTTTCCGACGACGTATACAAGGTGTCTTACAAGTCGCATCGTAAAATGGCTGAAGCTTTCTAAAAGGATCTGACAGCGGGGAAGAGGAATCGATCGTGAGTTTTTTTCCCTCGCATAAACTTGTAAAAAATAAAAAATATAACCTTCAAAATTAAATCTAACCTTGAAGTATGGAGATGTTCAATTTTCACGAGTTCATATTAGAGGATAAAATTCATGATCGTCTCCAAGTACTACAAAATTATTCACTTTTTACAATTTCATATTAAGGAAAAAAATTACATAATTGATAAGTAAGATCGCGAATTTATATGAAAAGATTCATAATTGATGACCTAAATACTAAAAACTTTTGATTTCAAGCAATAGCTTTTCAGGTATGGTTTAAAGCTTGATAATTTAATTTGTTGGCTAATTGAGAGAAAATTCATTTGTAGAGTTAGCTTGACTGAGTTTGAGTCAATTTGGCCTGCACTTTCTATATGCACTTTCTATATTTGCTAGTAAGTTCCTTCTCTGTCCCAGACCTCAAATATATATATCCTTTTCATTTTAAGTGTATAAAGTACATCTAAAGAGAGCAGATTTTATTATCTATTCTGAAGAACTGGCCGGTGTCTAGTGAATTAACATTCGTTTGCCATAATAACCATGGAAATGTGCAATTCTGCAGATACAGACTTACTGCAACATGAAAACGTGATATAAGCATCAATCTTGAAACATTCATTACGTCAAAATGGGAGAAAATGCATTTAAATATCACACCTAATTATTGCACTTTTCCAATCACGAACATGTGCGTGTTCAGACTGCGAGGTATCGAATGAGCACAAAGAGCGTCGCGATTGGCCGGCCACTTCGAGTGCGCTATACTTCGAGTTTCTCAATCGCTGTATATTCACTTCCGAGATGGCTGGCGGCACGGCGGTTCGAGTCAGCGGAGTTGTTTCGTATTTTCGAGGTTTTCGACTGGCTGAAGTGACTTTCGCAAGATCTGTCGAAAGTAAGTGTCGTGCATTTGTTGTAACAAGATATCGTGCGACAATCACTGAGAATGAGTATCTCGCGACACAGGTCGTCGGCAATATGCCGAATGGTGCGTAACGGTTAGTCCGAGGTACGAATCCGTCGTCCTTTAGCTTCCAATTTATCGAAGACGTTTCACACATAAGTCACAATCGTTGGCACCCTTACGAAAAAAATACGAAAAAACCTTCAATTTTACATGTTAACACTCAAATTTAGGTGTTTATCCCCAGTTTTTGGGTGTTTACACCCAAAATTGAGGGTTTTTTTTCGTAAGGGCAGTGTCGTACATAACTACTCTGGCAACGTATCGTTAGGTAATCGCCGAAAATGGATATCTCGCGAAACGGGTCGTCGAGAGTGCCGAGTGAAGTCGAGTCGCGCGTTCGTAACGTAACAACAGTTCGGAATTCAAATCGACGTACTTTACGTCTTCAACCTATTTCTTCGAAATAGGCTCGCAAGCGAATTATCGTTGGAATTGTCATAAGTTCCCTGTATTCGTCATGGCAATATTATTAATATCTCAAATACCGGAAAATATCGTGAAATATTTAAAAGCAAAAGATGCATTCTGATTGGTCGATCCGTTCCGTCAAGTATTTTGAAATATCTCAATCATACCCGCCATTTTTATGATAGAACAGATCACGATGTAATAGTCGAAGTCGTTCCGTATCTTTCGCAACTTTGACTCGTCGGAGCGAATCTCGCGCGTAAAGTATCGCCGTCGGAAGTGTTGAGAGTAAAGTTGTCGTATGTTTTTCGTGATGAGATGTCATGTTGAACAGTCATCGAGAGTGAATATCGCGTGAAACGGGTCGGCGATACCGAACGAAAAATGAGACATTGGTTGCGTTCAGCAGAAAAAGCTGCTTTGCAACTTTGTAAAATTCACGTTGTAAAATTCGCTAATCTGATTGGTACATGCTCTTGGATTCAACCCAAATTAAGAGCATACTCCAATCAGATTGACGAATTTTATAACAGTTGCAAAACAGCTTTCTCTGCTGAACGCAGTCATTTATTATCGCGGCGTTATTATTGTTGGAGTTCAATTCGTTGCATCTTGCTATCTGCTAAAAGAAAAAATTGGTGAGTATCGATAGAACAAAAGTTACCACAAGTGTGGCGCTTCATTTGAAAATGCAAATTGGATAATGAAAAAGTGCAATGTCCAGAAGCAAAATTTCATACTAAATCTTGTATATGTTAATTTTTACCATGAAAGTAATAATCTCTTTTTTACCAACAGCTTGAAATTGAGGATGCGCACGGATCGAATGATCAAGGAGTTAAAACTAAAGAGAGAGGATGACTGGCATGACGACGACGGTGGAACATCTTAACCACAAAGTGAGTCGAATATACATTTCTTTATATTTATTCGATGCTAGTAATATTTATTTAAATAAAAATTCTCTTATTTAAATAGAATAAACAATAGAATAATTGTTTTCATGAAAAATACAGGTTTAAAAAAAATGCATATTTCTTTATTTAAAAAATATTTTCTATTAGCATAAGTAAACATGTTAATAATAACCTAAGGAATGAATATTTCTTATTTCTTATCTTCTTATCTTTTTTCTCAATGTATCTATTATCAATAAACACTGATAGATGATTAACACTTAGAAGGAAATTTAGCAAGCTGCAAAGCTAATCATGGATTGTCGTGGTAAGAAGTTCTCGTGGCTAACCAACCGACGAAATGTTAATTCCTGTCAGTTCCTCTTATCTCGTCTACTTTTCGCGGTAGCCTGCACACAGTCGAAATTGTCATTGTCGTAACGATAGTCCGTTGTCGCGCGATGACGCTTGGTCGCACGCGGGATACGCAAGTACAGTCGCATAGTATAGTCGAATCGACTTTATCTCTATCCTATCGTACCTAGCGCAGTCGTCACCACCACCACGACTGCTCTAGCTGCCGCAAGACAAGACATTAGCACGTGCCCTACGTGCGGAAAGGCGTCATCGTGTCTCCTTATCTCGGCGCCACGCGCCTACCTCGTTGCTCGATTCTATTTACGAACAATAAGCACAATGCTCCTATCACATCACAGTGCGCCCGACTAGCGCTGCCCCAGTTTCGCACTTTGTCAATAATGATCGCCTCGGAGACACCAAACAACTGCGGTCGCTCGCTCGTTCGTTCGCTCGCTGGCTCACTCACTCACTCACTCACTCACTCACTCACTCACTCACTCGCGCCGTGCACTTTAAATGCAGAAACGCATCCCTCGCGTTAATATACGACGCGGCGGTATCGTCTCGTTTGCTGGTCGATTTCGCACACCCTGATACATTTGTTTATGTCGACGACCTCACTTAAAGTGTGTGCACAAGCGGGTTGAGACGCCGCGCAGTCACTTCCGTGACACGATAATATCGCTGTCTATATTTCCGCGAAAAATATGGTAAGGATCATACCAGAAAATTTACGCGAGAATATCTTAATATGTTCACTATCACGGTTTATTTGGGCACTTTTCTCCACAGACCGCATTACATTTGTTTTCATGTAATTGTGTAAAATAAGCTTGGTTTTTTATAAGTGGATATATACAAAGAAAAATGTCATACACATGTAACATTAAACATGTCAATTGAACATGTGTGGTGCCGATAGCGAACGTTTTATTAGAATTTGAATCATCATGTTATCTGAAGCGATAACATGATGTGACGGAGAGCGTATAATTGGAACTGTGCGCATAAAAAATTATGCATAAAAAATCGTGTAGCGTTATTTCAGATCAATTTTATGAGTCACATCAATATCTGCCTCCCTCTTGTTTCTTTCATTGATTTTTTCATTATATTTTTGCAGGGATATTATTACAGAAAATAAGAATAAATCCCATATTTCGCAAAATTTAATTTAGAGCATACGTACTGTTTTATGTCAGAGCTGTATATCCGGTAATAACAATTAATACTACAAAGCCGTTTCTTTTGACGAGAGAACATTAACGATATTGTCGACGGGCTTCTCCCTTTTTCTGCGCGTTCTAACAGGTTGCAGAGAGACAATGTGCAAGTAGCTCAATTCTCGCTCCCTTTGTTGTTCTTCGATACTGATCTTGTTTAATAGAAAGGGTCCGGCACTCATCATACCGATGGCGCCGAGTGGCGCTAAGAATACGATAGCGATCACTGAAATCCTCACCACGTCGAGGGCTAATTCGATTTTCGTGGGGTCACCTTCTTCTCTAGCACGTTCAAACGCCATTGGCGCCAACGCTGCCTGAATTTCAAAATGTTATCGTTAGTCGAACTCTTTAGTTTATGAATCACGCTAGAATTCGCGAAATTGATTTTACCTGTAGCGTTCCTTTCGGAACCCAAGATATTGCGACGAATAGACATTCTTTCCATGTAAAGGGCATTTTCAGCGTCGTTAAAAAGGCTGTAGTACTGCGCACCTAAATTTAGGAAATTGTATATGAATTGTGCAGCAATGTGTAGAAATGTTTGTATTTATCTATGGCTTAAGCGGATTAAGATATCGTTGTCGCGAGATAATTACTTTGGTAATTTTTATTAAATGAAAATAAAAGAACATATAATATTATATAACAATTAACCAAGAGATTATACAATATCTAAAGATTATATTATACTATATTATACTAAAGATTATATTATATATATATATATATATATATATATATATATATATATATAT